CGATTACGAGGCATCGGCGAGCGCGACGCGGCCGACGCGGCTATGTTGGCGCTTTAACGAGCCGCCGGCGATTTTTGACCCCCGTGACGCCGCTCTGTCATTGTTCGCACCCCCTCCCTCCCCCCGTCGGCGTAATGCACGAGGAGGAACCGTGTCGTTATCGGCGATACCGCGAGAGATCTCAACGCTCGCTCGCTCTCTCTCTCTCTCTCTCTCTCTCTCTCTCGCTCTTGTTCTCGCTCTTTCTCCGTCTCGTTCTTTCCTCCTCGTTATCGCGAGCGACGTAATCGATCTGATTACGCGCGAGCCCGCGAGATTCCGTCCCGCGACCCCCCTCCCTCCCCCCCCCGCGCGCCGATGAATTACATCTCCGCGCGCGTATTTTTCAAGCCATCGGGTAATAAAGTCCGCCGTATTCGGGCGTGCCGGCAATACATAACGCCGGGGCGTAATGTAATACGGGAACAAAGCAGCGCGATGCCGGAGAAATATCGAGTGACTGCACGGGAATCTATATCAAAGTTCTTGGCTTCCGATATACACACGCAGCCCCGCCGAGCCGCCGATCGTGTATCACCGGGCCTCATTCTATTGGCTCTGGAACTTATCCCGGACCGGTCCTCCATTCTGCGAGCGCACAAAAGTGGAACAGAGAAGGACGCTCCGCGCGCGCGCGCGCGCGCGTATGTGTGTGTGTGTGTGGTGTGCGTGCTCTCCCTCGCGCAAACACAATTTTTCCATGACCGAAGAATCCGCGGATCTTTCTTGCCGGTAAACGGATATTCCAATTCCGAAAGAATTCGCTCGCGGCGATGTTCTCCGCGGCCGAAGAGCCGTCGGGACGCTTTTAGCCTCTCGACGATCTCTGCGAACGCGTGCGAAAATCGCACGATTCTCATGATTTGTCCGGAGGCGGAAAAACGCAGGAAAGTCGGAAAAGGCGTCTCTCGTCTTCGCTCCGACGGGAATCCCAACGACGACGTAATAAGGATATCAGCTTTAGCTTTAGCGAGATAACGGAAAGTCTCGGATCGGGAGAGCCGTCGCTGCCGCCGTCGGAGAGACCGCGACGAGATTTCAAGGATGTCGTTAGCGCGAGAGCGGCCATCGAGAGACACGGCACGTTCGTAATGAAAATGTAATGGCCGATGGGAATCGCACTCGCGTCCGGAAGCCAGTCTTGTGGCAGCTCGACCGGCTCATTTTATTTTGCGTCGGCGCTTCTTGCGACGACGGCTCGGCTCGCGATTGATTAGGAAACGCGCTCTCTCTCTCCCTCTCTCTCTCCGGCCAATTACCGATCGAAATCGCGACGAAACTGTAAAACTCGGTTTTACCGAGTCACGAACTCGGGTACAGTTGGACGTGATTGCATGCGAATCGCGCTCGCCTGACGATCGCGAGAACGCGTCCAGTCGAGTGACGCTCCGCCGCCGGGAGGTGTCTAGCGAACCGTCTCGAAAGAGAAATCGAGCTACCTCGTCAACGCGAGCGATCTGAGAGAGAGAGAGAGAGAGAGAGACGAGTCGGTCGATCGGACTCGCAAAACACCGGCAAAAATCGCTCGAAAGTCCTTCTCGAGAAAGAGTGACAGAGAGAGAGAGAGAGAGAGAGAGAAAGAAGGAAAGAGACAAGAAGAGAAAGGAAAAAAGAAAGCAGACGCAACGAAAGCAAAAATGCCCTCAGCGCCCTAGCGCCCGCGTTTCCGGCGGTGTCGCACAGTGGGGCCAGATGGCATTCTTTGGTTGAAAATTCTCTAGAGACCTGAATTTCCAACCGATCATCGATACACCAATAGATCAGGTTGATCCTGAATACATTCCGAAGAGATCCGTCTTGTCGAAATTAAAAGAAAAAATTGTTTCCTCGAATTACTAGCCCCAAAAGAGGAAGAATTATCGTTAAACGCGAGAAACTTGTGAGATACTCATTATTCGACATTTATTTCTATCTAATAGCGTATTCAGCGGATTGAAACTGTGAGAGCAATCAGCAGACACCTCGAGATTTATCGATCTTGCAGCAGAAATCCATTAATCCAAAACTCATGTGTTCAAAATACGAAAACATGAAATGTAGACCCGTTGAGCACAAAACCGAGGGATTTTAATCCTTAATTCTTCCTTAATGTGGGCTGAAATGACGAGCTCGGAAATTCTGAGGTTTCTAAAAGATGGTTATAAGTTCTGGGGTCACGCATTTAGTACTCATAACCTCGAATTCACACTGAGAGAAAAGTATACGATGTTTGGAACTATAATGATATAGTAACTATATTATAGTCCGAAATATCATATTTATAGTAAGTGTTACCACAATATTCGGCAATAATTACGATATAGACATGGTATAACCAATAATATTTTTTACTAAGAATTATAGTAAGTTAAACTAAAATTATTGTATGGATACAAATATAAAATGGCAGGTAAAGCAACTCTTTTATATAGTCAATGTTACCGGAATATTTGCTAAATGATGACAGATGTAACTATATGAATATTAAATCTCGCTGTATTTGTGAATGAGAAATTACCATATATGTGGTAAGAGTAACTAAACAATTATTTAAGACAATCATTGACTATATATTTGTTTGTGTTTATTTTACTATATCTTGCAGGTTTCCACAAACTATAAAAATATGATTGACGCCAAAATGAACTATAAAACATAGTGAGTGATTATAGTTAATTCAACTATATTGTTCTATCAGTGCATCGAGGTCGAAGCCAAGACACTGTGCTTTAAACGATAAGCTTTCAAGACGAACCCTGAACCGACCATTTTTTCAAAATTTCGGCTAGACAGATCTCTTTGGAATTTATTCAGGGTCAACAACCACCCCTCATCCATTCGTGCGGACGATCGCTTGGAAATTCCGGTCTCTACAGAGAATTTTCCACCAAACAATATCATCCGGCCCCACTGTGTGTGTCGCCTCGGCCTTCTTCTTCACCGAGAGACTCGCATTATTCGTGCATTATTTGTGCATTACGCTGTACAATGTAGAGCGGACACAATTACACGTCGGAGACGTTGGCCGTCGGCCGGTCTCTCTTGATTCGACGTATCCCCAAAGTGCGGAGCGGAGCGGCAATAAGCTCCGGTAATGCGCTGGCCGGTTCCACTAGCGACGGCCACGTCGAAATCCGTAGCAGCCAGTAGCGGCGGGGGCGGCGGGGGCGGCGGTAGAGAGCGAGCGTCGATTCGGGGGTGGTCCAGCCTGGACCCAGAGTCCTCGTATAGCTGTGGTCAGCAGGCGTGACGGCGTGTGTGCGTGTAGGGTAGTCATGGTGCGCTCTCGCCCTGGCAATGCCACCATGATACCCCGGCGATACCCCCTGACTGCCCCCCTGACTCGCTCGCTCGCGCGCCACGGGGATGCGACCATAAACGCGAGAGCGAATTGATTTGCGACCGGAAAGCGCGTATCGTTTCCAGTAATGATCGCCGAGACCTCATTGTCTTCGTGCGACGGCGAGATCATTGGGCGATGCGATGTACGAGCGGCGGGGAAAAAACCCGCCGAGAGAGAGAGAGAGAGAGAGAGAGAGAGAGGGGGTGGGAGAGAGACACGGTGGTTCACGCCTCATAGACCGCGCGGCGTTACCGTCATTACGAGAGCCCTCGCGAATGGAAACGCGCTGGTGCGCGATGACGCCGCCGATGACTCGCGCGCGCTCCCGTTTCTTCGCGCCGACGTAGCCCCCCTCCCCCTCCTTCCCACTGGGATCAAATTATCGTGTGACTGCGAACTGTCTGTCCTCCTTGAAATCGGAGGGAGCGATGCCGGAAACGTCGGCTGGATAGCAGCAGGTTGGCGAATCGTCTTTGTCCGTCGGCGCTTTCCGAATCGACGCTGTTGACGTATCTCTCTCTCTCTCTCTCTCTCTCTCTCTCTCTTTTTCTTTCTCTGCATGCGCGACTCGCTCTTATCCCGATACAAATGCGCCCGGCGGAACAAGTGTCGGGGGAGGGTCGAGCGTGTGTACAATCGGCCGAGTCGCCGCGGGAGCGCCGGCGGTCGACTTAACTCGTGTCGCGCCGAGGGGTCGGCCGAAAACAACGGTGATCATCGAATCATCGGCGCGCGCTGCCACGGACCTGGGGGACATATGTCGCGACGCGGGAGACCCTCCATTACGATATTGGCTCGCGCTCGCTCGAGGTTATCGCGTTAGGCGGCTTTAATGCGCGAGAATGAAGCCTGCGAGCGCGCAGAGTGGAACAGACTCCTCTCCCGGCGGTGAGAAGCGGGGAGGCGGGGGGGGGGGTGGGTGGGTCGGAAAACTGATAATAATGGACGCACTCTCGCAGCATTGACCCTGCAACATTTCACGACGTCGCGCGAGCGGGGAGCGATTAACCCGCCGCGAAGACGCAGTGATGCGCTCGCGCGTCCGATTATCAGATTACAGGCGCGTAAGCCGAGGGCGAAGGGCGGGGCGGGGAGGGTGCGAGGTGATAAATCATTACCTCAGGAGCTAGCAAAGCGTGTGCGAGTGCCAGCCGCGAGTGCTCGTCGCAACGGGAAGCCTCGCCTCGGCGAGAACGGTACGAGCATTCTTCCACGGAGTCCGTCGCAAGTGGAATGATTTCGTGGCGATACAACGGCCGAAAGAGAGACGGAGAGCGCCTGAGTGAGGGGGAGGGGGGGGAGGGGGAGAAAGAGCGAGAGAAACGATACGCCACATCGGCGTTCTCGCGCGATCCGTTCTGCCAGCTTCCGTCGGCGCGATCCGACGCGGAGGCCGCGAGAGCGCGCGAGGCCCGATGATTCACACGCAAATCGCGTTTAACGGCGCGATTTCACGGCGGATCGTTCACGGCCGCGCAACAATCCTCTCTCGACAATCACGCGCGAGCGCGAGCTAACAGCAGCGTTCACACTCATAATGGCGTTTCTTGCGCCCGCGACAGCGCGCGCGAGATGAAGATCGCGGCGCCAAGCCGCTCCGCTCTCTAACGTCTAACGCCCTATCGATCTCCTTTTCCAGGTCACGGCGGTGTCAACCAGCTCGGCGGTGTCTTCGTGAACGGAAGGCCGCTACCGGATGTAGTCAGGCAGAGGATCGTCGAGATGGCGCACAGCGGCACCCGACCGTGCGACATTTCGAGACAACTCAGGGTATCTCACGGCTGTGTATCCAAGATACTGTCGAGGTGAGTACCAACCCTGCCAACCCTCGGTGCCACCCCCCCTCCTTTCCCCGTGCCCCATCGCACCCCGTTACGAGCGCGGTCGGCCGACACCTCGCGGTCCGACGGCGACGCGCAATTCCAACGAGAGAGGAAGAGAGAGAGAGAGAGAGAGAGAGAGAGAGAGAGAGAGAGGAGATCGTTAATCTGCCAATTTCCAAGGAGAATCGTCGGGCGTCCGAGAAGAACGCGAGTGACTTCGCCGAGCGACGCGACTGTCTCGCGAGCAATTAGCTCTCGTGTCTCGCGTCTCGCGAAATCGCGGTCGCCAAGCTCGACAAACGAACGAACGAACGAACGAACGAACGAACGAATGAAGAAACGTCAGCGAAGCGCGCGCTGATTTACGAGAGGATCAGGCTCGCCTCTTGCCAAACGCAACACCGCAATTTCCGCGCCGCGGAGTGGCCAAGGTCGTTGGAATCGCCGATAAGGAGGAAGCGGCAGAGAGAGAGAGAGAGAGAGAGAGAGAGAGAGAGAGAGAGAGAGAGAGAGAGAGGGGGGTGAGATAAGGAGGCAAAAAAGCGAAAGAGCGGGAGGAAAGAAGGAACAGCAGTGAGAGAAAGAGGGGGAGAGAGAGAGAGAGAGAGATGAAGAGCGCTCGGAGAAAAGCCAAAGTGATTTAATTAAAGACGTTGTTAGACGAGCGAGACGCGGAGCGGGCGAGAGCGGGGGATGCACGGAGACGACGAGGCCGGAAGGAAGGAACCGCGGCCCCCTCACCCTCGCGACGCGGGGGTGCCCGACGATATGCGGTTTCCATGTTTTTTCCACCCTCCGCTCCCCGCTCCGTTACATAACGGGTGGCCTCGTGCCGCTTTGATGGCCGGAGCGCGTCATTCGAGCGTCCCCCGTCGGCCGAATATCATTGTCATATACGCGCTCTTTCGCCAATGTCGCATAATAAAGGCCGACTGGATTATTTACTGCCGCGCGCGCGGCTAAAGTTACCGTTTCCTCTTCCCTTCCTTCGAGCGAGCGGGACAGAGCGCGCGAAAGAGAGAGAGACAGACAGACAGACAGAGAGAGAGAGAGAGAGAGAGAGAGAGAGAGAGAAAAACTCGCGCTTTGTCATTAGCGGGGAAGCGCGACGTCTCTCGCGAGGCGAATTTCCGCTCGGACGACGTTGCGGCGGCTGCCGTCGCCAGGAATCCGCAGCCATTGCTGCGATTTAGGATTTTCGCGGCTTTCGCAGACTGGCAGGTGCGCGCGCGTCTCGACGAGCGACGGCAAGCTCGCGCGATAGCGGGCCGCGACGTTTTACGCGCGTTTCTAAATTTAGCCGCGCGACTCTTCCGCGTGAGACGCGCTCGACTCGCTCGCTCGCGCGGATGTGCTGCCCCGGCGACTTTATGGCCCCGAAGTTTACGGCGAAAACGCGGCCTCGCGGCGCGGCCGCGTCGTCGCGCGCTTTACGCAGTCACGCGCCGCTGATACGACTAGTCGCGTTCGCCGAAGCTACGCGAAACCGGATACACGCGGCGGCCGGGTCCTTTCGGCCTGCCGAGGGTTCGTAAAGTCAGCCGACGGGGACGGCGTTGAAAAGCCCGGCGGCGGCCTGATGACCCCGGCCGCGGCGAAACCGAGCCGCCTCGTTTGGCCGGAAAAGCTTTCCTGCCTGTCGCGCGCTTGTCGCCGCAGAAAGAGAGACACACGCACAAAGTGCTCTTCTTTTGGGGTTGCGTACGAAGCAAGAAACACCGGAGGAGGAGGGGCAAGAGAGGGCGGGGGGGGCCTCGCGTCTCTCTCTCTTTGTAGCACGAGACTCCACCTCCGTATTCCGTATTCTGGACGCGCCGCGGATTCCGGGGACTTCGTAAAGCGTTATGACCCGAACTCCGCGAAACGCGCTCTTTTAGAGCGCGCGCAAACCCGACGACGCGTCTTTCCTTACTCGCGCGCGCGCGATTGACATGCCAACGATCTGCGACCTTCTGTCGATTAACCGACTCCACCGACTCGGCATTTTGTTTTTTCTTTGCCGCAACAGACCCGTCTGGCGAGTCGACGAAATTTTAGGTGGATTCCAGAGGACTCGGTTCCTGCTGAAACTGGCAGGGTCGGACTCCGACCACTCAACGTCTGCGAAGTGCGTTTAATTTGTATGAAAATGCACGAAATTCGTCACTCGGCTAGGGATGCAACGATCTCTCAAAAATATCGATAACGATATCATCGTCATTCGGAACCATCGATAACGATAATATCGATAATTTTGAAAAATGTCGATATTTATATAAAAGAATGTATACATATAGGGGTATGCGCGAAAAATTTGATATACAATTCATATAATTTATTGTCGTATTCTTATTGGAAAATATATAATGAACCCCAGTCATTTGCCGGAGATCACCACGTATATGGAGCGGGAGATCTATTCTACGGTTCAACGATTGAGGTGGAAGTGATAAAAATGAGCGAATTCATCAGACATCGAGCGATCACATAATATATAACATATATTCTAGTGAATTCACTCACTTTTGTAATTTTCATCTACGGTCGTAGAACCGTAATAGGCCCCCAGAGCTGCAACTGAAAAATACGAAAATCATATCGAATATAAAATTCATATCGATATGTCGATTTTATCGGAGACAAAAAAATATCGATAAATATTCGATATTTGTATCTCTCGATATATCGATTATATTTCGATATTATCGATTTATCGTTGCACCCCTACACTCGGCAGGGCAGCTGTGCTAATTAAATAAACTCAAGACAGGCTCGACGATGTCGAGTGGAATATACCGAGGACGAGATGAACATTTCCACTCGGCCCACATCGAGAGTCCACATTCGGAAAGGACGAAGATGCACATCGCAACTAGACTCACGTAATCTCTCGCAGGCTTTCGTTATCGCGAAGTTATAACGAGGAATCAAGCCGGGTTTCGCGCGATTAATCCCGACGGCAACACCGAACGCCTCTCGGACGTGCCAGTCGGTAAATTTGTCGCGGGGATGCAAGCATTAAAGCGAACGAGTAAACAACGATCACACCCTGCGGTGAGCGGGTTGTGAAAGATCTCAGACCAATTTCTCGATAATTCATGCCTCCGGTGTTCCTCAAGCACGAAACGCGCGCGTCTCCGTCAGGATGAACGAAACGCACAACACACTCGGCTGGCGAAAGCGCAACGTGTCGGGAAAATTGCGCAACGCAGAGGACTTAAACTTCCGCGATCTGCCTCTCTCTCTCTTTCTTTCCCCGCTCGCCCCCCCCCCTCTCGCGACCGACGCCGCTCGCTTTTTGAATTAACGTGCAAATCGCCCGCGAGGCGCTGCGGCCTCGTAACGACGGCCGTAAATAATGCCGTTTCTCCACGGAGGTGGCGTTTTCGATTTCGCGCGAGGCTGTCTCGAATCCATTTAAATCGGAATTAATGCGGCAAGGGTGAGCGACGACGGCGAGGCCGATTTGAAAAATCGCGCGATCTAATGGCCATTTCACGCTGCAGGCGGAACAAAGGGGACGAAATGCCGCGACGATGGGCACGAGCGTTGCCGCGCGTAGGGCCCGGAATCGGTGTGGGGGGAGGGGGGAGAGGGCGGGCAGGGGTTCCACACCAGATATGATCGTAATAATTTCGTGGGGGTAGCCGAGAGACCCCCGGCTCTGTTTAAGGGTGCTCGATCGTGTAATGCTTTTAACTGCAGGTTCACGGCCAATCGTTTTTTGTTCTCTCCGAGAGCGAGAGAGAGAGAGAGAGAGAGAGAGAGGGGGGGGGAGAATCACACGACAGAAGAGCGTGCCTGGCGGAATCACGCGGCGCGATCGTGATCGTAACACAATAACCGGCGAGAGAGGGCGAAATCTGTATCGAAGAACGATACGCGTTCCGCGACAATGGCGGCGCGCTGCAATTTTAATTAACGCACTCTCTCTCTCTCTCTCTCTCTCTCTCTCTCTCTCTCTCTCTCTCTCTCGTCCGCCGGCGACACTCGAAACTCGTATTACAGACGGCGTCGCGGCCGGAGGAATATAATCCGGCTCAACAAGCCGAATCCCATTTTCGCCCCGAAACGCGAAACGCCAAAAACCTGTTACGACGCTTTTATTCACCGCAGATATTTTTCCCCCTCCGCCCTCCCACGCCGCGGCGAAAAAACGCGCGACGCTCCAGTACCGCGTGCGTCTCTCTCTCTCTTTCTCGCGCGCGCGTGAGCGCGTACACACACACACACACACGCACGCACGCACGCACACACTCGCTTGCTTGCGGGCGCTCGCAAAATTCGCCGGATATCCAGCGAAGGGGGAAGGGGGAAGGGTATGAGTCGACGCCGACGCCGACGCCGACGGCGGACCCACATCCATCAAGGCGGCCCACAAGCGGACCATTATTGCGGGCTATCCGGCGTAATTGAATTTAAGCACGAGCGAAGATATTATTTAACTAATTAGACACAAAGGGCGCGTTCATGGCGGGCCAATCGCGATTGCCCATCGCGTGCGCGTACATACGCGCCCGAGCGGTGGGAGGCCCGCTAGACGCGAGGGAGAGCGAACGACGGGAGGATGAGAGAGGGACGAGAGACGAGAGAGAGAGAGAAAGAGAGAGAGAGAGAAGGAGGAGGAGAGATGGAGACAGAGAGAGGGAGGCAACAGCGGGAGGCCAGAAGCCGTTTGTTTTAAAACAGCCGGTCGTTGACGCGCCGCTGGACGGCGATTCGTTATTCCGACGTTGGCCGCCCACCGCGGGAAAAACGTTCGTTCCTCTCTCTTTTTCCCCCTCGGTCCTCCCCGCTGGTCGCCGCTGAAGCGAAAAAGAGAGAGAGAGAGAGAGAGAGAGAAAGGCAAACCGCGAACTTTGGCGACCGACCTCTCGTCGGCGCGGCGCGCTTTCAAGCGCGGTTTAAAGCCGATCGAAGAGAAGAACTTGCTCCCGCGACTCTCTCTCTCTCTATCTATCTATCTATCTATCTACCTACCTATCTACCCATCTCTCACCCGTAAGACCGATCGTACGACCAACTGGCTTCTCTTCTGTGTCCTCAGATATTACGAGACCGGTAGTTTCAAGGCTGGCGTGATAGGAGGCTCCAAGCCGAAGGTGGCGACGCCGCCGGTCGTCGACGCGATCGCCAACTACAAGAGGGACAACCCGACCATGTTCGCGTGGGAGATCAGGGACAGATTGCTGGCCGAGGGCATTTGCTCGCAGGACAACGTGCCATCCGTCTCCTCCATCAATCGGTGAGTCCTCGCGCGCGCGCGCGCGCGCTGGTCCTCGCTGGACCCCCCAAGAGCGTTGAGCTTCGCGCACGGTGAAGAAGCCTTCCGTCCTCTCGCTCCTGATCGCTCGCTCGTTCCCAGGACGGTCCCGAGGAGTCGCGCGACATATGCTCGACACCAGCAGCCGCGCTACGACAGATAGGGCGCGCTAGATCGGTTATCGCGCCATTTCATCGCGCGCCTATCCCCTCGCGTGTGCATCGAGATAAGTGCGCAGCCGGGCCCCGCGTCACCCCGATCCTATTGACCTTTCGCAGGTTCTCCTTCGGGACCGAGCCGATTAATTCAAGTGTTTCTGCGTCGGCCTGCGCGGCAGCCGGAGCGGCCCGGCGGAAACGCGAGCGAGCGAGCGAGCGAACGAGCGAGCGCGCCTAGGACGCTCGCGGCAGGGCCGCCCTTACGACGGCGAGGGGGAGTGAGTGTCCCGTGGGACGGCATTACAGCGTATCAGCACCGCACAAACTGAACGACTACTACACTCTACTCGCTCTGCCCCCTTTCGGGCAGGAGCTACTCGCCAGAGGGGGCGGAGGGTGGTTGCAACGGGAAAAGGCACGCAGCGGCCGGGTCAGCGGGGCGAGCGAGGAGAAACACGAGAAAGGGGAGAGACAGCACCGAGGGGGTGTACCACCGTCGCTCGACTCTCTCGCATATGTCCCGAGATTGAATCAGTTCGCTACTTAAGACCTTATCTGCCGGCCGGTTCAAACCCCCGTCGGAGGGGCCCGTCTTCCTCCCGCTCGCTCTTTCTGTCTCCCTCCGTCCGTCGCACGCGGCCGATAATGAAATGGAGCGTAATGCGGATCGAATTGCCGGCCAGCGAGAGCGGAATCCACTAACGCGATTTCCGCGGGCCGCAGCCGCTAATGGAAACGCACGCAAATGAGTTAGCGGCCGCGTAACGACGTAAGTGCTCTACGCGCGGCCGCTTATTTAAATTCCGCGTCGAGAGGCTGCGTGCGTGCGCGCGAGGGGGCGGCCGCGGATGCCGGCAGCCCCCTCCCCCTCTCCGCCGCTGTGGTTAGGCCCGCCGCCAGCGGGATGACTCGCCTCTTTCGCGAGTTTGTTAGCCTGCGAACGCGGGAAACAATCAAAAGGAGCTGGCTGTTTCGTCCCGTCGGAAAACTTCAAACCACCCCTACATAGAAATGTCGAATTCGCAAATATGAGTCGCTCATATTTTGCGGGTGTGCCAATGCGAGACTGCATCGCGGCCGAGAGAGAGAGAGAGAGAGAGAGAGAGGGGGGAGGGGAGAGGAAGGGAGAACAAAGTTTTCACGGAGTCGCACGACTCGGTGGTTAGCCCAAGAGAAAACGCACTCAACGCCTCCGCGTCGCCCCCCCTCCCTCCGCCGCAACCCCGTCTCGCGAGAGGGTCGCTCGCAATCGCGCATATTTTCATTCTTTCACTGCGGCGTCGCGCGGCCACGGCAGCGTGAAACGTGGGCTGTACGTAGGTACAGCAATGACTTTCTGGCCGAGGTTTTCGATGTGTCTAGGATTGCAGTCGAGGGTGCGGCGGTGGCTTGTTGCTCGAATGACTCCTCCACCTCCGGCTCCACCTCCTCCGGCACACGCGCTCGCCTCCTCTTGACTACTCGCTCTCTTGCTCGCTCGCTCGCTCCTTCTCTCTCCCTCTTGCCCTCGCTCTCGCCCTGTCTCACCTTCTCTCTCTCTCTCGCTCTCTCTCTCGGCCTCCCTCTCGCGACTCCTTTTCCTCCTTGTCCCTGTCCTCCCACCTCCCCCCCCGCCCCCGGCCCGAGGCCCAGATGGCGGGTATTGATCTGAATCCGGAGAGCAGATCGCCTGGAAAAACTTACCCCGCGGATACTTATCTACCTACCTAGCTACCTACCAACCTACCTACCTACCTACCTACCTACCTACCTACCTACCTACCTACCTACCTACCTACCTACCTACCTACCTACCTACCTACCTACCTACCTACCTACCCGGCTCCGCTATCTACATGCGCCCATCCAACGTACCATCACCCACTCACGTACACCGAAGCCGCAACCTTCCGCCCTACCCACTCGGTGCAGGTAAACGCATTTCCGCTCGGCGAGCGGCGGACGGAGACGCCCGCTCGGTCCCTTCGGAAAATGGCCACGCACATCGAATGCTCGCGTGACGATTCGTACAACGACGCATTTGTCAGTATCGTGTTCGTTGGGGAGGGGCGGGGGAGGAGGAACTCGCGTCGACGGAGTTTCCTCCGGCCGGGGACGGGGGCACGCGGAGCGGAGCGGCGCAGCGTCTCGCGCTTTTCCGCGGCTTCATCTCGCGACAAGAGTGTCTTGTTATTCCTCACACGATCGCGGCATTGTAACAGCAGGGTGCGGGGGGAGGGGGGGCATCATCGCGGCGGGCAAAAAGCAGCGCGAGCTGCGCTTCCGATCGATCGAGTCGCGTGTGTGTTTTCATCGACGTGGACCTTCGTTCGCCCGGCTCGGCAAGTTAGTTTGGAGAAAAGGGCGACACGCAGGGGGGCGCGGGTGGTGCGAGGAAAGATCCCGATATGAAGCGGGCGAATTTTACCGCGAAGAAACAGCAAGCGGGTGCATCGGAGCGGCGGCCGGGATTTCTCTCCCATTATGAGCGTGTCCCGCTTTTTCTAGCCTCGCGCTCGCTCTCTCGGGGTGGAGAAATAATGATACAGCTAATATAATGTATTGTCCTGCTTTGCCGGAGCACTTCGAAATGAGACCGTCCGCGAACGACGCGGGCGACGGCGGGGCGCGGAGGGCGCGAGGGGAGAGGACGAAGGAGGAGGAGGAGGAGGAGAACGGCGGTACGGTACGGTATATAACCGCTGCTGCCGCCGCCGCCGCCGCCGCCGCCGCCGCCGCCGCGCGCGCGGACGAAAAAAGGCGGACGAGGAGAGCGAAATAATGGAGTGGCTTTCGCGAAAAATAACAGTTATATATCCCGCGTATGAGACGGGATTGAGGAGAGCGGAAAAACAGGCGAAAAACGGAGAGAAGATTGGACGCTAACAGTTTCCGCGAGCCTCTTCTTCATTCGGCTAAGACGCCGACGCTGCAGCGGCTTCTTCTTCTTCCTCTCCCCCCCCTCCCCCCTCCTCCCCCCATTGTTCACTCTTTGCGCGCTCTTTATGAATCGCGGCCAGCGGATCTGCCGCGTGTTGCGATGAAAAAAGGAACGTCGTTTCCCCCTAACGCGATTCTTACGCGCGTCGCCTTGCCCCGTCCTTGTCTCTCGTTTTCCCCCCTTCTTGCACCAAGAGAAACGTCACGTCGCCGATTTATTCGACCGATCCCTCCATGTCCCTCCGATCGGGAAAGGAGAGTTTGACGCAAGGACGGACGGACGGACGGACGCCGTGCAGCCGCGAGAGAAAGAGAAACGAAACGGGCAGGATCTCGCCCGGAGAAGAAGCGCACGCAGGAGGCGGCACGAAGGATTGCCGAAGGAGCTACGGTGAATTTCGGGAGGAAATATTGATAGGCTCGGCTCCGGCTGCGGAGTCACGCTCGAGTAGGCGGCTCTCTACCGAGGTCTATCTTACACGTATACAAACCCGCAAAGGGCCGCCCCCCCCCCCGTCTCTCCCCCTCGCCACTCTCTCTCTCTCTTTCTCTCTCTCTCTCTCCCTCTCGCTTCCTCCTCCTCGTTGGTCGGAGGAGTCTCAGGAGCAGATCGATAAGGAGCGAGGTTCGCCCGAGAGAGCTTTACGCCCGGCTCACAGCCTCCTTCTTCGCGTTTCCTCCACGCAGCCCCCAATGTTACGCTCTCGCGTGCCTCTCTCGGCCGAAGCCGAAGCCACAGAGAGAGAGAGAGAGAGAGAGAGAGAGAGAGAGAGAGAGAGAGAGAGAGAGAGAGAGAGAGAGAGAGACTTATGGACTTACGGACCTACGGAGTCGATATCAGGACCAAAGGAGGGAAGCTTACCCTTACTTCCTGTTGTGTTCCGCTCGTGGATCCTCCGGCCGCAGGCTCTGCCTCGCCGGTCGACGCTCGCGAGCGCGGATCATGACTCGAAACTCTCGGAGATTTCTCTCGCTCTCGCTCTCTCGCTCTCGCTCTCTCGCTCTCTCTCTCTCTCTTTCTTTCTCTCTCGTCCAGTCTCTCTCTCTCTCCCTTTCTCCAGACCACGTTCATTTCACAGTCACTGATCCCCCGCGAGCAGCGGCGCGGTTACTCGGCGCAATTTTTCAATTCCCGTCGCAAGACGCTCTCGCCGCTCGTTCGGGCCGTGGCTTTAATTCGACGTAATGACCAGCGCGACGACGACGACGACGACGACGACGACGACGACGACGACGACAGTTGGCAGGAAATCTGTCGCGTCGAATCTCGCCGGAATTGTATCAATCTGTCATCGCTCGCCGGCGATGGCGTCGTCGCGCTCGTCGGCGCTCCGCTTCTATCGCGCGACTCAATCTCCCGTCGAGGCGCAACCGGCACCGCTTTGCTCTCCATTACTTCCATATCATTTCGCACCCCCGGAATCTGCCGCGAGGTGCTGGCCTGGCAGAAACGCAGGCCGGGGGCCATATGGCTGGCTGTTCTCTTGGAGGACCGGCGGAAAGAGAGAAAGAGCGACGCGCGCGCGCGCGCGCGCGCAGGGTCGGCGGTCCAATGGGATGGCTGCTACTTTCATGCCACTTTCGGCTTTCCGGCCGGCGCGTCACCGGTATCTCCCTCTTCATCTTTCGCTTATTAAATTACAGCCCCATAAATAACGCTCCGGCTACCCCCGGCTCGAGCTTATTTACCATTCCACCGGCACCGCGGGAGGACCCGCGTCCTCCGGGAAGCCGTCAAATCGCCGCATTTGTCATCCGACGAGGCCTCCGGCCGCCGCCCGCCGGAGGGATCGGGGCTCTCTCCTCTCGTCATTTCGCATTCTCGCCGGCTCCGTCACGCCGACTCGAGGACGCGCTCTCGAGGATTTTCAAGGCCGCCACTGCGCGCGCGCTTTTCTCCCGTCG